ACGGGCCCTTTGCGGGGAAAGGCGCGGGTTTTAGGACAAGGTCGGCAGCGCCGTGTTCGACGTCCCAGGCGGGACTGAGCGCCGCGCCGGGGCTTCTGGAGACACCGTCCACCGAGGGAAATACCTCGTGCCGGATGTTTTCGATAGCCTGCACTTTCCTGGAAAAGCGACTCAAATCCCGTATCTATAACAAATCCCACACATCAGCGAGGCAAAATTTAGTTGTATAAACGTAGGTGCCATTTTAAAATAAAACGTTTGAGATGCTACAAGATACCTGCGTTATACATACGGGGCTAAAAGGTATGCCACGTAATTACCAAAATAATTCTAAAAACCGTATGTACAGGTCCCCTTGGCCGTGCTGGCGCCCGGGGCTGTGCCGCCAGCCTGCAGCACCCCAAGGGCAGCAGACACGGGGCTACAGCCTGGGCCTGCCTTGTGCTTGTCTGCTCTCCACGTCTGCTTTGCCCGGCGTGGAAATGAAGTAGTTGATAGGCCAGCAGAACCTGAAACACAGGATTTTTATACAATCTGATATTACAGACATACTATTTTACAAATAACATGGCATATCAAAGCTTCCTGCTGTATTTTTGCCGTCGGGGGCTGCTCATGCTTCACATGAGGAAGGGACACAGGTTTCCAGCTCCAGTGGGGCAGCACATGCACATGCAGGAGAAGCCTTTCCTCCTTCCTGTCTATCACCACCCTCCAGTTTTACCACTGCTCCTCGACCCCAGTTTCAGCACTGGGATGCCCCCTGCCCGCCTCGGTGTCTACACGAGTCCCTCCTGCTCCCGGCCTGCTGCCCTCGCGCTGGCCTCTCCACGACACCGTGCCCCTCCTTGCCGCTGCAGACGAACCAGGCACGCGATGCCGCCTTCGATAAGCTCCCACAAGCTGAGAAACTGGCTCTGCAGTTACCTGTGGCAGCAGACTGGTGGTAACCGCGGGGTGGAAATAGTGACTCCGAATGACTCCGCTGGGTGTCAAAACGCCCAACACAGGAAGTCACCGCCAAGGCAGCAGTGCTTGTGGGCCCGCACTTGTGGTGTAGAGGTGTTGTTGTACATCACGTGCTGGTAACCGTCAGGGCTCCTCTGATTTCTTGTATGGAAATGTTCATTCCGTGGTTTAGTTAAGTATTTGTATAAAGAGAAAATCAGGAGCTGCAGCCACCGCAGAACACTTCAATAATATTGCAAAAGCTGTGGGCAAGAAACAGTTGAAATATGCATAACTTTAAAAAGATAAAAAAAAAAGATAAAATCAATTAAGCACCAGTAGTGCCACATGGCAAGGGCAAACTTTTTATTTGCAATGCTACAATTGGGCAGATGAGTATTTTCTGTTCATTTGTTTTACAAACTGTGTTGGGATACCTAAGTGTCTAAATGAAATGGCTCCCTTTAGGCTTCAGAGTGTACAAGTCAGTAAAGCAAAGGTATCACACATACCTAGAAGGGGAAGGATGAAAACAGGCAAAGTGAATACCAGTAAGTGATAGGATCCAAGCACAACAGTGCGTTAAACCAATCTTCACTTTAGGACATTCCCTCTCCCCAACTCTCACAAATATATTTTGCTGCAGACCCAAAAAAAATGTCCTGCCTGTCTAAAAGCATGTGTCCTTTTTTTTCAACTTCAACAGAAGTCAGGCAGATTTACATACAAATGTATGTACATTTACATACAATTTTTGTCTCATTGTGTCCTTGGAAGTGACAGCTACAACACTCTGACTCTCTTAAACGTTCACTAGAGGGAGCGCTTGTTATTTATTTATATATATTCATATATTCATATGTATATATATAATATATCTATATATGTATTCATAAACACATTTAAATAGGCTATATACAGCAGATGCTAAGTTTTGTATTCCTACCTTGATACAAATTATTCTGCTTTTCTTGCAGGAGGATAGAGTTTTCCTTACTATGCATAGTCTTATCTGTATACTTGTTTCACTCTTCACTTTGCACTATGCTTTTGCCTTTAATGGTCACTTGTGACAATGAATTCATGAAGTTATGTTAAATAAAATGCCAATACAACTTCCATTCATTCCGTACTTCTTCTCCTCTAAAAAAAATACCAAAAAAAAGAGCTCTTTTTATTTTGAAACTTAGCTGTATCTGTTTGAGGCTGGTTTATCTCAAGTGATCATCTAAATCTTCTCTACTGTATAAAGTCCAGAAATAATCCTAGTATATTTATTTTTTAGAAACAGCTAATGTATTTGCCACCCTTGGATTACTTACAGTGTAGTTTTTTGTTTCATTTCTCTCCTGTAGAAAAGAAAACAGAATGATTCACTCTACCATCAAACTGTTTATGAATGGTAGCTGGGGGTGGATGCAGCAGCGCAGTAGGCTTGGGTTATTAGACTGCATAATCATTGAAGAGAAGTAAAAACAGTTTTCAGTCTTTAAATGGTCTCTACCCACAGAACAAAATTCAGCTCTAATGTACTGAAGCCACTAAGTAGGATGAGCATAGAAATGCAAATAGAATGCACTGTTTTATTTTCTGTGTTAAGAAACATTCTATTTGTTTCCACAAATAATTCACTTCACTTTCATTATCTCTGCTTTCTCTCTGTGTATGTATATATGTATGTTCATCTAACTAGATTTTGCGTGTCGCTAAAAGGTGTGAGTTTGATTGTCTGCCTTGGGAAGAATACATATTAGAAGTAGTCATGTGCTAATGGGGGCAATTTACTCTAACTGGAATTATCTGTCAGTTCCTGTGACTGGTTTTCCACAGGCCTAATTGCTGTATTTTATTTACATAAGTAGAGTATCACAATATACAGAGACAATTTTGTTGTTTCTTAACTCATCTGTAGGGAGGGAATCTGTCCTGTAAACACAGATTAGGAATATCCAATGCAGAGCAGGAAAGTTCTACTAAGTTATCTCAGTGCACTCTGCTTGCTGCCATCTATATTATGCTTAATATAAATAACAAAAAAAAAACTGCTTTTTGCTTTTGCTGAAAAGGAATTGGCATCTGTAGGAGAACTGATTTGTGAACTGTCTGCCTGAACCATAGCATGCAATGTGGCCTGAAAAGCATATGCATTAGATTCAGGCTGTTAAGTCATGTTGTATTATGCTTACTAGCAAGATTTATGCTTTAAAAAGTTCTAGTACCATGATGTCAGATGCACTACTGATTATTTCAGTCTTAATACAGGCACTCATGTGAGATGCTTTCAAATATTATTATTGCAGATTTCCGTAGCTGTAACTTCAAATAAAATTTCAGATCAAAAAGATCTTATCTATTCAAAGTAAAATAGTGGGATTCAAGGTAAGTATTTTAAAATTATATATTTCCTACATAGTTACATCTTAATATCAATCATAGAAAAAAAGATCATTTAATGTGCACTTTTTAAGCCCACAATTTTTCTTAGCAATTCATGAACTGAAATGCAGGAGCTGTTGGCCCAGAAAACAGCAGATTGCAACTGTTGTTGCAGAAAACAGCAATGGTTAATACTGCTAAACTTCCATAGTACACATTTCTCCTTTGAGAAAGGGAAGAATGGCATAAGGTCCAGCACCAGTGCAACCGGTGACACCCCAGATATTTTTGAAAACAGCCAAAGTGAGATGCTCATAATTCTAAAAATAGGAATTTCTGAAATTCTTCAGTTTCTAACCCGATAACGTTCCCTCTGTAAGTTCAAAACTTTCAGTATGTTTCACCAAATCCTAAAAGACAGGAGACATTTCAGTAAACCTGAAGTAGCTGCAGATAACTGGAGAATCAGTTCCATATTTTAGCAGCAGCCATGCCTGTATGCAAGCCTGCTTCCCAACAACCACATTGACAGAAGACAGGTGAATCAATGGCAGAAGGCTGTACTCTATTTTTGTTGTTGTTGTTGTTCTTATTCCTTTTGCTCCAGTTTATCCTTCTTCCTCATATTCCATGGTCTGATTGTGAAATCTGAAACTCTAAATAAAGGAAAGATGATCAAGCTAGATCACATATGATTTAGTCACAACACTATGTTTTTCATACTGACACATACTGTCTATATATCAGGATCAGCTGCCAGGGCCCTTCACATCTTAAAAGGTGACTTATAGTCTCTTGTGTCTACCAGGTAGTGGCTAATACTAAGATTCAGTTTAAGACAGCTTCATAAAATGAAATAATCACCAGGTGGCCCAGAGCCCTGGCAAAGATTTATCAGTTTGGCTCTGGCCCATAACATATATCTTTACACACATACACATATAC